GCGACAACGCATCAACAACTTTGTTGTACTCTCCTTTGATGTACTGGGGCTCGAAGTCATATTGCTCAATGACTTCGATCCAGCGTTTCAGCGCATCAGAGGGCACTGGCTGGGTTCTCATCCATTTCAGTATCTGATGACCAGTCATGACGTAGAAGAACCTCCCAAGGAGGTAGTGCCTCCAGTGGGTTAGCGCTTTGTAGATCGCAAAGAGCTCCTTCTCATAGGTGGACTTAGCCAACTTCTGAGAGGGCATCTTTTTGGACATGCACTCAACTGACCTCAACTTTGGCCGCTCCTGCTGTGCAAGCAAGGCGCCTATGCCATATTGGCTGGCATCCGTGGTTACTATAAACGGCTTGTCAGGATCAAGAAGTTTCAAGACCTCATGGTGTGTCAAAGCATGCTTCATATGTTTGAAGGCAGCCTCACACCTGTCTGTCCACTCCCATGGGGTATCAAGGCGAGTCAGGTCCGTCAAAGGGGCGGCCACTATGCTATAGTTTTTGACAAAATTGTGGTAGTAGCCCGTCATCCCTAAGAAGGACCTCATCTAAGTCACAGATTGAGGACTCGGCCAGTCACGAATGTTGGCCACCGTTGCGTCATCGGGCTTCAATCCCTCTGCGGAAATCTCATGACCCAAGTACAAGATCCGAGTGCGCCCAAACGCGCATTTCTCCCCGTTGATCTTGAACTGGTGTTGTCGAAGGAGACTAAGGACTTTGTCTAAGTGACCAACATGCTCCTCGGCAGTCCTACTAAAGATAAGTATGTCATCGAGGTACACGATGACAAACTTGTCCAAGTAGTCATGAAAAATCCGGTTCATGGCATGCTTGAAGGTGCCAGGAGCATTGCAAAGGCCGAAAGGCATCGCCACAAGCTTGTACAGACCGGACCTGGTCTAAAACGCGGTTTTGTGTTGATCCTCGGGCCGGATTGCAATCTGATGGTACCCGGACTTTAGATTTATCTTACTGAAGTACCGACACCCTTGCACTCGGTCCAATAAGTCATCTATGCGCGGTAGGGGCTCTGAGTTCTTCACAGTGATGGCATTGAGGCCCCTATGGTCAATGCACATCCTCAAGGTTCCCCCCTTCTTTGGTACGAATAGGACAGGCGATCCATAAGGGGAAACAGTAGGCCGGATCCAACCCTTCTCTATGAGTTCCTTGAGTTGCCAGCGAAGCTCATCAAGTGCCGCTGGAGACATCCGATAGATCGTACTCTTCGGAATACTAGATCCTGGGATAATCTCTATCGCGTGGACGACCTCCCTCTCAACAACCCCTTTCGGCTCTTCAAATAGATCAGGGTATTTAGCGACCACTCCCTCTATCTTTGGAGGCATTTTCACCGGCTCGCCTGCTGTAGAGACATAAGCTAAGTACATACCCTCCTCCAGATTTTGCTTATAATAGTTATAAAACGCGGCCGCACACATGCATCCATAGGACTCGATCAGACTACTAGCGTTAAACTTACGTAATCTGGCGATCCCCCCTCCGGGCAAAGTGTGTTTGACCACTTTTCGGTCCCAATCAAACTGGGGTTGTGCAACCGAAAGATAGTACGTACCTAACAGGATATCCATTGGGAGGTCATCGCTGACTAGGAACGAGACTCGATGTCTCAGTTCCCCTCCCGCGTACGGGAAACAACACTCAACGTCTTTAAGGTAGTCGTTCACGACCATGCGCTGTTTGTTGGCACAGGTCGACTCCACAGGCGCTGCACTTGCCCCTGTAAGCGCAGCCTCTCAACACACGCACGACTAACGAAGTTTTGCGTCGAGCAAGTGTCATAGTAGGCCCCTGCCTTGCGGCCGCCGATAACTACCCCGGCGACGAACAACTCACCCTTAGGGGATTTGGCCATGGCCGTCCAAGAAGTTAGCGGGTCTGATCTAGACCACTCCTCCTCTAGCTCCAAACACATTCATCGAAGAGAGGATTGACGAGTCTGAATGTGTTTGCTGGACGACTATGGAGTCAGTAGCTTGGGCCATCTCTCGAGATGGTGAGGGTGTGTCCACCACCTCGACCCTAGTAGGAACAACTACTATTCCTACTGGCTCAACGTGTTTCCCGAGCCGGTGCCAGAACCGCTGGCCACATTGCTGCCCTGGGAAGCGGAGGATCCCATCGCCTGCCCCATTGTAGGCGGGATCTTTTCGATCACCTTCTTGTTACGGCACTTGAACTGATTATGGCCATATTGGCCACAACGGATACAAGCCTGTCGGGTGTACAGGTCTCTCCACACATCCTCTGTGAGGCCCACTTTCTCCCAAGGAGGAGCATTGGGGTCTACTTGACTCCTAGCCGGGGAGCCTCCACGGCGTCTATCGGTCGCCTTACCTTTTTGGACTGAGGCAGCGACGGTTCCACCCCCTGAAACCTCTACGCTGCCCGCCTCTGAACCTACTCCCTCCTGGTAGTCGTCGTCTAACTCAATGGTGGAACCATCATTGTAGACGAACATAATACGACCCTTCGCCTTCCAGTTGAGAGGCAGTGCTTTCTTCCTTCCATCCGTCGTGGGTTGGTGCCCATGCCCTATCTTTGCTTCCAGGTCTAGGGCCTTTTTGCTAAACGAGGGAAAGTTGTGCACATTGATGTTTGCCTCACCCGCCAACCGATTCCTGAGTGGCATTGGAAGACACCTCAGGTAAGTGGTGAGTAAGACCTGGGGGTCGTAACGTACTCCAGGTACACAGATCAGACGCTCCTCTGCATCTATGGCATCCCTTACCGACTTGAACGATCTAAAGCTCAAAGTCAGGATCGCACTAGTGGCCTTTTGGGCCTCTTGAGGATCATGCCACCTTTCTTCCACCAGGTTGAGGAAGTCTTCCAGTTTCTTGTTGACTGCCCAAGTGCGAAAGTCATGATCGTACCCCTATAGTTGCACGTACCCACTTAACCATCTTGTTGCACTCCCCTCCAAGTAGGAGGCAGCCACAAGCACTTCCTCCTGCGGCAAGGTTAACTTGCACTTCATGTAGACTGGCACTGACCTCAACCATGTGTCAAGGTCTTCGCCCCGCTTGTCCCCTGAGAAGGGTTTTAGGCGCTGCGATGGCAGTCTTCGGAACCCACTGGCCTTGTCCCGGTACCTGTACCACTCCGGGATGTGGACCCTGGGGTGCAGGCTGCTGCACTACCTTCTGTTGGGCCTGTGTGCCCTGCTGCTGTGCCGGCTGTGAGACAGCAGGCTGCCCAGTTACGGCAGTCTGTAACGAAGGTTGGGAATACACTGTCTGTACAGGAATCTGTACACTAGGACCTGCTGAGAACCCTCCTGTCAACGGCATACCTAGGCAAATGGCTTGGACCGATGCCGGAGAGGCTACATATGGGGATACTCTCAGTCACCAGTGGGACAAAAGGAGGAGGCTGTACCACGGGCCAGGCACCGGGCCCTGATGGTGATGGTGCTACCTGAGCTCGCCTGACCAGCACGGCTGTCAGAGAGCCGTTTGGTGGTCCTACATTTCCACTACATTCCAGCAGGACTGTCCGCAGGGTCCTCACATCATCATCCATGTTTGTCAGGTCCATCCCCTCTAACTCACTAACGTCCGCTTGTCTCCGGTGGATCCTTGATCTTCTTCTGATCATCCTTTCTTTCTCTGCCTTTATCTCTCCTAGAGCCTGCTGTAACTGTGCCTTGTGAGCGGCTGCTCGCTGTATGGCGACCTCCTCGGGAGTCAACACTAACTGCTGACTCGCCATGACACCAGCGGACTGACTCAGGGTCTGTGCAATCGTCGCCCCTACACAGTCCCTGAACTACTGGCCTGGGAGCTTTGCTGCTCACTACACACTCCCTACGGCCGCTCACCCAGCAGAGCGCATGCATGTACCGCATAGGCAGAAGACAAACGCCAGATTTGCGCACTGTACCACAGCTCGGATACCCAATTGCAAGGAAAACGAGCGATAGCGAATTCCAGAAACCAAGCAGCATCATACTCATGTAACCAGATAGTCCTGACCTCGAACCAAAAGCAGAGTTGCAACACGAGTCCCACCAAATAAGAGCACAGAAAAAGCTCACAAGTGACAATGTTGGAATAGTCTCATCATCATCAACAATGAACCAATGACGATTTCCTATCTGGCGCTCTGCGCCCAGTCTACAAATGGCAGATCCTATCTAGCCTATCTACAATGCCGCTGGTGACGTCAACAGCTCCCCGAAGTACGAGCAGATCTCGGCCAATGTCGTTCGCCTCAAGCACCAGGGATGTCTCTCGTATCACTCACAACCTCGATCCCACACACACAGATGCCACATGCACCCAAGGACCACCATGCGCCCCATCCAGCATAGTGCAGCGCAGCTCGGCTATGGCTGCCTGCTTTTCCTGCTCGCCAGTGAGCGCGTGGGCGCTGGCCAGCGTTTAGCACAGCAGCGCTTGCGCAGCAGGCGGCCGGTGCCCGAATGCCAAATGCGAGGGCAGGCCCTTTCCTAAATGGAAGTGGCCTGCCTGCCGCGTGCGACCTGACTGCACTGGGCCCCAGCCCAGAAGCTTCCGGTAGGCCCCGAGAGGCTGAGACCCAGTCCAAACGAATCAGGCCCAGGGCCTATGGCGGTTACCCGTGTTCAACTGCCCACAGCCTGTGTCCGGTCCATGTTGCGTATCTGACCCAGGGCCTGTCGCAGTTACGTACGAAAAAGGCAGCCTGGGCCTGGGCGCTCTCAACCAGCTGGCGCTGCGCAACTGCCTGAATTTCCCCCAGTTGCGTGGTAGCTGAGAAATAGACCTCCCATCCTTGGTCGAGCCTGCCTTCACTTAGGGCGACCGACGTTGTTGCAAACAGGGCCCAGTAGGGCTTACCGAGGCCTTGCGCCTCACAATTTTCAATTTTTCAATATATAATATTTTATTATTAAACTGTGAAACTCTTTCTGAGTTTTGTTTTTGCATATCTTATCCTCACTCTTTTTTTTTATGCCGCTGATTTTATTGATTTGTTCTTTAACAGGTGAAAAATCGCAGGGATGAAGGACATGGTGCAGAAATGAATACGGGTCCAATGCCCCGTCACCAGGTCCGTTTTTCTCTCCTCTCCCCCCCCCCCCCCCCCCC